ATGATTCCATAGGTACAAATAGGGTGTGACTTGTCATGCAATTTTGAACGGTCAAATCGCATGACAAATCGCATTGGTGTAAACTGGGCTTACCTGTAGGTAATATGAATATCTTCTAAACTTGCACAGTTTAGGAGATTTTCACATTGGCTGTAGCTGATAACGTCACCACCGCATGCACAGTAGCTCAGCATTCATTGCATACTGAGTGCTCCCTGACTGCATAGAGTGCCATGCCATGATGGCGACTCCTGTGTGCATGTAGGGTGTGATGTCATTATGACCTGGCCATTTAAACAGCCAGAAAGCACAAACCTGAAAGAAAAACTGTGTAAAGATGGAGCAGTGACAGCTCCAGTTTCACAGTTTCCTGTGAATGAATAGCCTACATGTACTCTCAGCCATTGCAGCTGACGGCTTGTAGTTCTCAATGAACTACGAGAACACTTGTGAGCGCTCTAGTAGTTCATTGACTCTTCATTCTCTCAAGTAACTGTCTGCCTGTACAAGGTACGAGCAGACAGCTATCCTTAGAGTCTGCAGGAGTCTGACATTGCGCCCGCAATCTGCTGATCACGAGTGTAATGCATTTTTACTTGCAAGCAAAATGTGCATTTATTATATTTTTTCAAAAAGTGAAACCTTTAAGAGGGAGACAGTGTGACAGTATACATGCAAGGCATAAGATTGTGGAAGTTTAAAAAACCCACCAATAAAGTTCCTCTACAGGAAGACACCTATTCTCAGCCCTGGGAAAGATACAACAACTAGATATGACAAAATTAAAATTATTTAGGTTTCTATAAGGCCTAATTTACATTTGTGCAGTACATTAACCTGTTTAAGTTGCACATTATTGTGCACTGCGGAACTCCATTGAAATCAAAGGGCTGCCAAAGTACCAAAACATAACAAATATTGGATGTGCCATTCCAAGTGAAGGCACCGCAACGCTTGTAACGTGCATTGCAGTGCATTACCAAAACTCACAAGTCCAAGGGGGCCCTTAGGCTCTTATAATGTCCATCAAGCTTACAGATAAATAAGAATGGTGGTCCATTAATGGAAACCAATGTCTCAATGTTTTGTTTTGCTGGGATAGAGGCTGGCAATTAAATAAAGAGTACAGTACACTTGTCCTCAGAAAAGGGCTGTTTTCTCTCTCTCTTGTCTAATTACTGAAGTGAGAAGTTTCTCAGATGGGGCGCCTAATCCAGGAGTTGGCAGACAATGTGCTATTCTTCGTAGATAGATGGAGTGTTATTAGAGAAAAAGGAGGAACAACTGCTCAGCATTCAGCCAACATGGCCAAGCAGAGAGGGAACTTAAACAGTCGTTAAGCCCAAATGTGACACAGGGGAGAGCAACCATAAAATAATAACCTGACGCTTTTCCTCGCCTTTTTATGGATCGCGCTTGGCGGACGGATTGTCATAATAAAGACATACGGTTAAAGCTTTAATCCGTGCTAGACCCAAGTACCCCAATGGGACTTGGAGAGAAAATATTAGTGGTCCCCTGTCTCAGCGATATGACCCAACACAAGGAAATTTGATAAACACCATTAAGAGATTCCCAGTAGCAAATAACAAGTCATTAAACAGAAAGGGAAATTTTCTGATCCACAGGAAAAAAAGGGCTATCTACGGTAATTCTTAGCTTTTTCCAAGCTTGATGTTAACTTAGGAAAGGATAATTTCTGCAGTCATTGCAAGTGTTAAAGCCCAACTCCAACCAAAAATTATTTTTTCCCATCCCTCCCTCCCAGCCTCCTTTATCCCATCCTTCCCAGAGTAAAGTTTTCCTTACCTGGTGAAGTCAGTTATACACACCTGAGTCTCCCCACCCAGGTCCTTTGCTGACATTGTTTCCTCCTGCAGGGACTGCTAATCCAACACCACTCGTAAGCAGTAAAGGGATCGTGCAGTGTCCCCTTCACTCCCATGAGTCTGACATCTTATCTCTTCAGGATCCTAAAAGAACCCCTCCACTGGGCAGCCAATGAGAATTATTCACATCACACAGGCAGTTGTGAATACCCAGAAGAAGGACCCCTCCAGGAAGTAAATAGTGAGAGTGACCTGGCGCCTGATGATCATGTGACTGCTTTAAGTTGTATTAGTCAACAGTTTGTTATTAATATATGTGTATATATATATATTCCTTCACTGTATATATATATATACAGTGAAGAAATGTTTGTTCACTCACAAAGAAATGATCAGTCTAAAAATGGAATGGTAGGTGTATTGTAACTCTGAGATACAGAATAGCAACAACAAATTCAAAAGAAATGCATATCTAACAAATTATGCACTGATTTGCATGTTCATGAGGGAAATAGGTATTTGATCCCCTTCACAAAACATGACTTGGTACTTGGTGGCAAATCGCTTGTTGGCAATCACAGAGGTCAGACATTTCCTGTAGTTGGCCACCAGGTTTGCACACATCTCAGGAGGAATTTTGACCCACTCCTCTTGGCAGATCCTCTGCAAGTCTTTAAGGTTTGGAGGCTGACATTTGGCAACTCAAACTTTTAGCTCCCTCCACAGATTTTCAATCAGATTAAGGTCTGGAGACTGGCTAAGCCACTCCAGGACCTAAAAGTGCTTCTTCTTGAGCCACTCCTCTATTGCCTTGGCCGTGTGTTTTGGGTTATTGTCATGTTGGAACACCCATCCACAACCCATTTTCAATGCCCTGGCTGAGGGAAGAAGGTTCTCACTTAACATTTGACGGTACATTGCCCCGTCCATCGTCCCTTTGATGCGGTGCAGTTGTCCTGTCCCCATAGCAGAAGAACACCCTCAAAGCAGAATGTTTCCACCACTATGTTTGACAGTTGGGATGGTGTTCTTGGGGTCATAGGCAGCATTCCTTCTCCTCCAAACACGGCAAATTGAGTTGATGCCAAAGAGAGCTCGATGTTGGTTTCATCTGACCACAACACTTTCAACCAGTCCTCCTCTGCATCATTCAGATGTCCAGTGGCAAACTTCAGACGGGCCTGGACATGTGATTTCTTGAGCAGAGGGACCTTGCAGGCACTGCAGGATTTCAATCCTTGTCAGCGTAGTGTGTTACAAATTGTTTTCTTGGTGACTGTGGTTCCAGCTGCCTGGAGATCATTGACAAGATCCTCACGTGTAGTTCTGGGATGATTCCTCACTGTTGTCATGCTCATTGACACTCCACGAGGTGAGATCTTACATGGTGTACCAGACCTAGGGAGACTGACAGTAGTTTTGTGTTTCTATCATTTGCGAATGATTGCACCAACTGTTGTCACCTTCTCACTAAGCTGCTTGGCGATAGTTTTGTAGCCCAGTCCAGCCTTGTGTAGGTCTACAATTCTTGTCCCTGACATCCTTGGACAGCTCTATGATCTCTGCCATGGTGGAGAGTTTGGAATCTGATTGTTTGATTGCTCCTGTGGACAGGTGTCTTTTATACAGGTAACAAAATGAGATTAGCAGCACTCCCCTTAAGAGACTGCTTCTAATTTCAGCTTGTTACCTGTATGAAAGACACCTGGTAGCCAGAAATCCTGCTGAATGATAGGGGATCAAATATTTATTTCCCTCAAAAACATGCAAATCAGTGCATAATTTGTTAGACATGCATTTCTTTTGAATTTTTGTTGCTATTCTGTCTCTCAGTGTTACAATACACCTACCATTCTATTTTTAGACTGATCATTTCTTTGTGAGTGGGCAAACATTCAAAATCAGCAGGGGATCAAATACTTATTTCCTTCACTGTGTATATATATATATATATATATATATATATATATATATATATATATATATATATATATACACTTGAAAAGCTATTGAAAGGTGTGTATATATATATATATATATATATACACCTTTCAATAGCTTTTCAACTCTGAAAAAAATAAACAGTATCATTTTTTTCAGAAAAGGTCGAGATAGTGTCCTGGCAGAGATGATGTCATAAGTCTGCTGTAGGCTGGAAGAAGTCTTCCCTCCCCCAGTAATAAGACTGTAAATTGCAGCTCTGTAGCAGGTCACAAGGTGAGAGGCTGCAGCAGGAGCCTGCACCTCAGTCCAGGAAGTAGATGTTGACTAGAGTCTACACATCCCTCTAAGTGTAAGAATTCAAATAAAAGGATTCACAACCAAATTAAATCTAATCAAGATTACTACATTATTTACATATTTTGAAGTGACCAGTCTCCTAGGATATCCTTTATGTTAAGGAATGGTTGAAGGTATTTAACGTTACGTCTGCCTATAGAGGTCATCACATATTTGTTCCTCTCTGTTGACAAAAAAGATATGAAAAGATGTGATTCACAGTTGACAGTCAAAGCTAAAAGCCGTAAAAATACCTTGGTCTGTAGAGGAAGCACTTTGTTTCCCTTGGCAGGCCAGCATTTTAACGAATTGTTGAGTACACATGAATTTTGTCAGGACAGATGTGGCAAATGACAGAACAAATCTTACAACTTATCTTTCAAAAAATAATGACAATGTGAAAAATTGCAGTTTGGCTGCAAAGCATTTTACCTTTACATTACAGAGGCAAGACTAAATCAACCTACCAGGCTCCAACAATTCTAGGGATGGCTGTTCCTTCTCACTCTCTGTCTTAGATGGTGCATTCTCCCTTTCTGATCTGTCAACTTCTCATTCATGTGAAAGGCTAGCAGAACTGTAATGAATAAAGACAAAATATATATGTTTTTTACAAATTGCCACTGAAACTTAAATTGTGAAAGTTTATGGCATTCACTCAGAATGAGATCTATCCCTATGGTTACATTTTATCTGGTTACCTTCACAGAAAATGTGCTGGCTCCTTGCACAGGGAGGGTGGGAATATGATTGGAAACAAATAACTTGTGTATTTACAATATTGATGTACTGTTATATACTGCAAAGTGTTCCTGAAGGTTTACACCAGCAAAAAAGAAAAAAAAAACCCTTACATGGATTCTAATTGTTCCCTAAGATTAACAAAAGTAAATAAATAAAATAAAATAAAAATTTGTCTAGCAATAAAGTTGGTGGTGGTATGGGGAGTTAAGAGTTGTCACCAGGTGTCACACAAACAGGAGTCTTCCTTGGACGCTTTCTCCTCTCTTCCTGTACAGCAAAAACTGTAACAGTTTTGGAAGTTTATCACTTCATGTCCAATCAACAATATAAAGGGTGAATTTCTGTAGAGGGGACACAGACAGAATATAAACCCTACAGAGGGTCTAACCCTTCCCTCTCTAGAAAAAGACTTTAAAGCAACTTTGTAGATAAAATGTAAAGATTCCAAAAAAATGTGCCGCTGTAAAGAACATCATTCTGTTTTGTAGAGAAACAGCACCCTGATGAATCTTTAACCTACTGACACATTAGGAGTGTTGAATTCCTGATTCCCCTTATGTCACCACTGTATCCTGTTGGATTATGAAGATCCTTAAGGCATGGGATTTCTTTTCAATGCAGCCAGATCAGCGGGGTGTGTGATAGCTGGGAAATAAAGCTGAAGATTGGACTTTAATTTTGCCTTCCCTGGTTAATCCCCCCCCCCCTCATCATCAACATGCCAATGAGATTTTAAAAACCTTTAAATTTTTATTACATAGTTTAGTTTAGTCCCCGTGATATCACCACTGGATACCTGTGCTTGTTTATACAATGCAGGCAGTCCATGGTGGGTAGGAGGGGCTCGCAGACTGTACATAGCTTCCTGAAAATTTCACAGCGCCCTGCCTCAGTACTCCTCTAAAGAGTTCTCAGCTCTGATGCAGGCAGTGGGCTCACTCTTGGGAGGAATTATGCAAACATTAAATTGCCTTGATGGGTGGATGTCAGTCTAGAGCAGTGTTTTTCAACCTTTTTTCAGTCAAGGCACCCTCTAAAATTATGGACAGTCCTGAGGCACCCCATTCTAAAATGTGAAAAACTATTCTAATAGTTTTATATAATGCAGCAACATCCACACAAGTAGGACACCCAACATTAGAGGTGATTTATTCTTCCAAAGCAAATACACTTTTGCACACTGATACTGACTAGTATTCCAGTGTTTCTCCTCTCCCTCAGTTTTTCTCCATCACTGAGCTAATGTGACCCCAGCACTGATGGAGAGGGGCAGGGGAGGGTCAAACTAGGATGCTGTGCAGGCAGCTGACAGCCTCCTTATCAACTGACGATGTAATTGGTTGTCAGGATGCTGGCGGCTAGAGGGTTGTAATGGTGCACAATGAAACCCGGTGGCTTTGTGTAACTAAAAGGTGGGCTTGTTCCACCCGATGGCTTGTATACACGTTTTTATGCAAGTTTTAGACATTTTGCCAAGGCACCCCTGAGGAAACCTCAAGGCACCCCAAGGTGCCTGGGCACCCTGGTTGAGAAAGACTGGGCTAGAGTTGTGGGTGTTTCATAAGTAGACTGTTTTGCAGACCACCTTATGTAAAACCCATACAGGATGCTGGACCTCCATGATTAACCACTTCCCGACCAACCTATAGCAGAATTACTGCTACAGAGCGGCAGGGCTGCCACAAAATCACATATTATATACATGATTTTGCATTTCCGGGTAGGGGGCACGAGCGCACCGCCCTGCTCATGCTGCCATTAGTTGCTACAGATGTCGATCACCGGGCCCTGGCCGGAGATTCCCTCGCCGGCACCCATCAATTGCCAAGTATCACTGACAGGGGAGAGACCTGTGTGTAAAAACAACACAGGTCTCTCTCCTGCCAGTAGTAACATGCTGCTGTGTATTTCACTGCACGGCAGAGAAATACACAGCAGTATGTTTACCTAGTAAAACACACACAGCAGGTAATGTAAAACAGCACACAGTTAAACCTTTGATTGACCAGGTTGTTAACCCCTTCCTGCCCAGTGTCATTAGTACAGTGATCAGTGCTTTTTATTAGCACTTATCACTGTATTTATTTATTTATTTATTTATTAGTGTCATTGGGATGTCAGTGGCAGTTTGTCAGTTCCCCACAGTTTCAGAATTCCCACCATAGTCCTGCAGTCCCACTATAAATCGCTGATTGCCGCCATTACTAGTATAGGAAAAAAAAACAATTCCAGTATATTGTATATACCGCCATTGTAGACACTATAACGTTCATATAAACCATTTAATTTAGACACGTAGCAGAATACATTTTGACCTAAATTTATGATGGAATTAGATTTTTAAATTTTTTTTACTGGATATGTTTTATAGCAAAAAAGCAAAAAATATTGTTTTTTTTTTAGAAATTGTCGGTCTTTTTTTTTTTTATAGAGCAAAAAATACAACCAATCAAATACCACCAAAAGAAAGCTCTATTTGTGGGAAAAAAAGAACATAAATGTCATTTGGGTGCAGCACTGCATGACCGCGCAATTGTCAGTTAAAGTAATGTAGCGTCATATCACAAAAATGGCCTGGTCAGGAAGGGGGTAAATCCTCTGGAGGGAAAGTGGTTAAGGGAGCTGAAGTCCAGTTAATGAAAGGGGCAGGTCGAGGACAATTAGACTGGGGCAGAAAGAGCTATGTGATGCTGGACGTCTTCCAGCCCAGAAATGTTGTGTGGCTCTATCTGACTTGCTGTAGCTACTAATGCAAACTGTGAGAAGCTCACAGTGTGCAGTGAAATCAGAGTAAGCAATTTCAGTACAAAAAAGAAGCCTGTACAACTGCGCAAGACTGAAGGGAAGGCTGGAGTTTAGCTTTAAGGGTTCACATTAGTTCTTAACCAGGGGCGGACTGACCATTTGGAAACTCGGGTGCTGCCCGAGGGCTCAGGGTCAGTAGGGGGCCCATGAGATGCCCCTGGTACCTTTTTCATAGGCTTTTTTGAGTTTGGGCAAGGACACAGGGGCCCCATGATCCCCTATTGCCCGGGGGCCCCATGAGTTGTCAGTCCGCCCCTGTTCTTAACTTAAGTGTTAAATGTTAGAATCGGAGGATTAAGTGACGTATTAGTGGAAAATTATTGTTAGAGACACTTTCCAGTTTAGTAATATGTAAGGAATGTTTATGATTTTCACTTTTTTCCAGCTAAACTTACATATAAACAACTCTTTGCCTTGTCAAACAAATGTTCCAATGTTTCATACCATCTATATGTATATTCTGCACTAAATCAATAACCAAGACACAACATGGTGACTCTATAAAAGCTGAACGCTTTGCGATCAAAGAGGATTCTGGGAGTTTGTCTAAGAATCAGCATCTTTATGTAAATGGAAATTTTTTTGCGTCTGGGTCACAAGGGAAATTAGAAGTAAAGTGAATGTTGGGGGAATTCATTGGCAAGGCTTTGAGCGAGAAATCTAATCAAAGTTTTCATTAAAATTTCCATTCTTTCCAGGAATGTTTAGGACACTTTAAAGTCTAATAAGCAGGGAATGCGTGAAGTTAAAAAGCCTTGCGGTCCGGTGGAGAGTCAAATGGTTCAAATAACCATTTTCCTGGCTTAATGACGCACAGAACACTAAGCACGTTTGTAGTGTCGGCCTTGCACTCTCTCATCTGGATAATGGGCCTTGTGTATAAAGAGAAGTAGGGGGGAACAAAGTCCTGGATTTCTCTTTTTCCAGAGAGGTTAAAAAAATTGCATTACCTCCACCCAAAAGTGCTATTTCAACTCTGGGTAGGCATTGCTAAACCAACGTAACAACTGATTTTATTTCATATGCTCCAATGGCAAAATTTCTCAGTAGTACGGTAAACTGTATCTCTATGCCTGTCATAGGCTCATGAAAAAGGTTGCTCTGTCAGATCTAGACTACCCAATGAACCAACATTACAGGCAATCCAGTACAGACAAGACACCATCATTTAGCTTTGCGATGGAAATTCTTATCATTGAATTTACTATTTACACACAAATGTACATTCTGTTGTTTTTCCATTAACCTTTTTTTAATCATACAGATTATCTACAAACCAAATAAATAAATAAATAAATAAATTAAATATAAAAACGCATCTTTTAAAGCTGAGCTACCAAGAAAACATCTGCAAATTTAAGTATACAGTATGTGAACCCTTACCTTATAAAATGGCCAATTCAGTTTAAAATATAAATTAAAGTCAAAATGTTTGTGTACATGAAAAATATATATACCGTAAATACCTTTTTTTTTAAAATAAGGGATCACATAATCTCTGTTATCAGCTGTATAAGGGACTTGAAGAGGTGGAGAGGTGGCAGTGGAGACTGTGGGGGAGGCGGGAACAGCAAAAGGCAGAGTAACAGCATTACACTGATTTTCCCTGTGAAGAGTTGTGCTTGGATCCAGGCAGGTGTGTCAGCAGAAGTCTTCGCCATTAAGGATTAGGCAGAATGAGCTCCCAGCCCAGCTAGAAAACTGACTACACTGAGATGGATGAGCTTCCATGCCAAGCGTGAGCAATTTAAAAAAGGAAAGCAGGAGAGCTGGCAAGATCACCAGGTATTTCACAAAAACGAAGCAATGGAAGGAGAACAGGTACAGGTACAACAGTCACATATCAGGAATATGAAATGTTGGGTAGCAAACACTTTCAATGCTTTTTCTGCTAAACGTTTTGTAATTCTGTTCAGCTTCACGTTTGTCCTCTGCAACTGAGCAATAAAGTTGGTCACCAACCCTCCTCCCCATCCATCTGATTGGACAATGATATAGAGGAAAATCTGCCCACTCAGCTTCTTCCAGTGATAGACTGACAGCACTGCGTAATATAGTACACCCTGATTGGATCCCCTCTTACCATACCATACAGGGGAATACAGGAAGCTAATATAAAGGCACACTCAATCGCTTACACTAGCTACATTTAAAACTGCATTCTTCTTTTCGTAAAGTGATTCTGTCACAAAAACTAAAGGTTCAGAAGTGTTCACTGACCCTTCAGCTACTTCCATTATTTCAAATCCAATTTTTGGAGACAGGGTCACTTTAAGAATACATAGCTTGATAAAATGGCATTTTTATTTTTTAAATCTCCTTCATGAAATTCTCTGTTTGCTTGTTATGGACTATTGCACTTTGCAATTCTTTAATAAGACAGTTCCTGTGTAAGTATGACGTAAAGACACCCACACAAGCAAACTATATAAATTACAATCATTTAGATTTAATAAAGAGAATTAGGAGTTAAACCATGCCAATAATTCTGCTTATACAAACAGCGAATTAATCAAATGCAACTACGTGTGAGGTATATGAAAATGCGAGTGCAGTTCTGTGCTGATTCTTCCTACTTCCAGTACATAATTTAAGTGATAGAAACAACATGTTTAATACAGAGCGGAAGATCTAAACAGATCAGATATGTATTGATTTGCATATCATTTGTATCTCATTACCAGCGTGTTTTCCCGGCCTGCCTGTATACAGAGACGGCACCCTTCAGAAAACTGCTTTTTAACATCCTGACATTTCCGGAATGACTTGAAAACGGCAACACTTGTGATTAATTGAGCCGCATGGACCTCTGGCCTCTTAAAATGTTTTAAAGTATTTATTGTACATAGATACTAGAGCTGTAATCTGACTCAGGGAATTATACAGCCAAAACAACTTTCAGTTGCATAACCACGACAGGCCATTTAAAAAAATGATACATAATCATATTTGCAGTGTGGTAATTAAACCAGCGCTGTGCAAATATTGTTTTACTTATTGGAAACCCATAGTGAGAGAAACATGCAGGCATCCATGGCTGAGTGGATCTGAGAATGCCAGTTTCCTGGCTGTCTCTGGCTTCAATACTTTATGCCGTACACTGCAAACAAGCACAGAGATCAGAAAAGTGAAGGAAGTCAAAATTCTCAATCTACAAATGTGTTACAGGGCAATTACCCAGATGGTACTGGCAGCACTGGATCATTAAGATAGCCAGATAACTAGTATTTATTCTAGTTCAAACCACAGGAATTTGAACAGCTTCACTGAAAAACACTACTTCTTATGACAAATGCATTAAAACGCAAAGATGTGAACGGAATCACATATTTTGTTCTTTAACATACGGCAATGCATATTTTCGTTGACATACGCCTTTTTTAAAATACAAACAAATGGCTCACATCTGCATGTTTCTATTTCACTAAAGTGCAAATGCATTATTCTGTGCTTTCTAGTTCCATTGGGGTCCCACCACAGCACATCCCTCTTAGCTTGTGTGCTACAGTGCACTGTGGTAACACATGGTAAAAAAAGGTCCTCCTACTTTTATCACAGTGCAGTAGTCAGAATGGGCCATTAATCTTTCAAATCTATGTCTGCCTGAAGTGAAAATTGGAGGTCCTGTGTCATGACTCCGAGTCTACACAGCAATTAAAAGGCTCTCTTTGCCCCTAGGTGTAGCTCTGGGTGCCAAAGTGGCCAATTACAAGGTATGACACTTCACTTCTGGCAGTCAAAGGGATTGATGGGCAAAAAGAGACATGACTAAGGGACAGCTATAAAATTAAAAGTTAAGTTCACCTTTTCCAAAAAAATTATAAATGCACATCTTTTTTCAGGTAAAATAAATGTGCATTTTTTTTTTTTTACTGCAGCCTGTAAGGCATTGCATCCGCGATCAGTAGACCGTGGGTGCAATGCTTGGATCCTGCAGACGCTGAGTACAGCTGTCTGCCTGTACCTCATACGGGCAGACAGTTACTGAATGGCAGGAAGAATCAATGAACTAGGAGGATGCTCATCAGCACCCTTGTAGTTTATTGAGAACTACAGGCTGTCAGCCAAGGAGGCCGTTGGTAGACGTAGTTCATTCATTCACAGAACTCTGTGAATGAATGATGTGGCCATGTGGGTGAAACCCTACACATCCGTGCTGTTGCTAAATTGTGACAGTGGGTGTGGGGAGAAGATCCCCCTCCTGCTGTCACAGGGAGGGAGGTATAAGGGGGAGAGGAGTTAGGAGTTGGAACCCCTACTATGTAACATGTTTTCAAAGGAAAACTTATGCTTTAAACCTAGTTTTTCACTGCTTGAGTAATGCGCATGTTCACTCTAAGTAAAAAACAAGTACCTGTTGCAATTATTTTTTTCTCCAGTAATTTCTACTGTAAAATAAATATTTGCATTGTAGAGTTTGCTAAATTATTCTTATTGGTGTCAACATATACTGTAGTTAGTGTAGAAATTGCCCACAGAAATTTGAAATAACTCAGAATTGTTTACCATGAAAATAAACTGTAAAAATATAAATTAACATACTATACAGAGAACTTTATTAATTAACTTAATGGACAGCTGAGGTACCACTGAATTGCTATACTGAAAACAGATGACGAGCTGGTGAGATTTATTCTTGGTACATGTGGTGCTAACATGTTAGGGCGGTGTTACTTAATCGCTGAGACATATGGCACACACTACTCCATGACAGATGCATCATTCAGTCTCTTGTGTGCCAAGATGCAGTTTCAGTTCAGGAGTGTGGCAGAAATACTTTACCCCCGATAGATACTAATGAAGAAGTTTTGTTCCTTAATGAACGCTTATAACTTTGTTACAGAATTTATTATGTGCGAGTAATTGTAAAATTCAGCGCTATACAAAATGAGTAAATAAATAAATAGATATAATTATTGGTTTATTGGAAGGATTTTGAGGTTTTACCTTCATGCTAGCTGCTTTCCATATTTACATAGCGCTCGTTTAAATTTTTATCAGTTATGTGCGAGTACTCTATGTTCCAGCTCAAGCTTTGCTGAGGCCAGTCCAACAAGTACAATAATTATTCCCTAAGGGCTTATTCACACCAGGGGGGTCAGCTGAGGTCCATTTAATATGCTTTTAAAACCTGTCATTTGATTGGGCTGCCCAATACCACATCACAATGGACCGAAAATTATACCTGCTTCATTTTCTGTAATGCAGGTGCATTGCAGAGGTGCACGGAGGTGCCCTTCAAAATAAATGGCATTTAAA